TGCTTGATTCTAAGTATTCTCCTTCGTAGTTCACTTACTTTTGCCGCAGGGAAAAACCTGTCAAGAAAAAGACGAGTCATATTAGCCCATGTAGTAACAGAATTAGGAGGAAGATAAAATAACCACTCCTTAGCCGAGTCGGCTAAGGAAAAAGGGAAAGCTCTAAGTTTTATTTGGTCCTCGGTTACTCCCTGTGGTGTCATGCTAGAGCAGACCATGTGAAATTCTTTGAGATGTTTGTGTGGATCCTCGTTTGGCAATCCGCGGAATGCAGGGAGGAGATGAATAAGGCCAGTTTTCAATTGGTATAGAGTTTCTCCTTGGGGAAGATCAATGCACATAGGCCCTTGTTCAGTGGGTGCCGCGGCTAACTCCCGAATAGTAGGTTCGGCCATCGGATTTGTATTATCTGAATTTGATCTTTCTTCTGGATCTAATTGTTGTCTCATTCTTTCCCGAAGTGTCTGTGCGTGGAGTCTCCTAGCTTCAGCTTCGATCTCCGGGTTGTACTCCACTAATGTGCCCGGATTAGTCCTGGTCATAAATCAAAAACAAACAAAAATTAGTAACTTTGGCGAAGTCCCCAGCAACGGCGCCAATTTGACAACTGTCGTTTCGGATGTCAAAATAATTCCTTATTCTCAATCAATAAATTAAGGAAATGCGTAGCAAAGAGAAGTAAGGGTCGATTCCACAGGGACTTAGAAAAATTATAAATTTCTGTCTGAATTATTTATGCCAGGCGTGAAATAGTAAAACTGGGGGGATTTTAGTAAAAGATAATAAAGTGATTAAATAAAAGTAATTAAAGTAAAAATAAGAAGATGAAGATTGTGAATAAATACGGTAAAAGTATCCTCAAGCTTCGCTTTGATTCAATTTCCTTTAGATCATCGAATAAGATTTTCTCTTCGGGATTCACGTCGGTTACTTTGTCTACAAGGGCTATCCTTGTGACTCTATCTTGTATACCGAATACCCAAGGCAATCTTTGATTCCGGCTTCGGTAGTTGATTCTAACAACATCTATTGTCGCAGATCAAATACCGTTTAAGTTCATGGCGACCGACTCGGATTGTTGTTTCTATAACCGTCAATTCCGATCTCAATTCCCTCTTGGCGAAGCTATCTCGCCAAGTGTGTTCCCAGGAAGTCGAATTGCTTTCTATAAGCCGAATCTTCCTCCCACACGTTTAATCGCAACAACTTCTTGACCAAAGTCAATCTTCGATTTTGAAAACTGTTTTGATTTTGAAAAATAAGCGCAGAGATTGAGAGAGAGATTCCGAAGATATTAAGGGACCGTTTCAATTCTCCCGTTGGAATTGAATCATCGCGACAGCTCTCGGCTTATGAAAAGTTTAGCTAAGCATGACAAAAGTCATACTTAGCATAAAAATAAAACTTGAAAATAAAGAAAAATAAAAAGAACTTGAAAAGGAAAAGAGAAAACTTTTATAAAAACTAGAGATAAAAGAAGAATGTATTCTGAATGATGATTTTAGGCTTACCCCAAGTGGGTATTTATAGCCTCTCAAAGCCTAAAGGATAAGCAAAGAAAATAATAAAATAATACAAAAGATAATTGTTTTTAAATTTAAATTCAAACTTAAACTAGTCTCCTAATGCAACTCTACTCGTCAATCTTCCAGAAGGCGTGCGGAAGAAGTCTTCTAGAAACCGCCGCTGACTGGACCTTCTAGAAACTGCCACGTCATACCGCGTCGTGCCCATCGTGCCCATGTCTCCAGCCGTGACCAAATAATAAAAAAATGCAGAATTCGCCCGTTTTGTCACAAATTCTGGAAAACAATGACCTGTACGAAAACAAGCACAACACGACCAAATCAACAGCAATAAATTCATAAAACCGAAGAAATAACGAGCAAATATTAACTATTCTAAACACTCATCATCTATTATGTTTTTAAAAGTTAGAAAAAAAAAGAAAAGTTGAGAACATGATTTGGTTTGTTAATTGACATTGACCATCTTTGTGGAAAGATAAGAAATGAAACTAAAGAAGATAACAATGAAAACCGTACGAAAAAGATTTGTCATTCTTAAGCTTTTTTACCCCAAATCTCAGGTAGATTAAGGAAAAAGAGGATGAAAACAATGAAAACCAAACACTTATTCTTTAAGCTAAATTGTCGGCAGTTTTGCAGGTGAGTGACTTGGGTTTGTCCACAAGGCATCCACCCATGTGAGTAGTGACTGAGGGTGGGCCATTTTCAGTATGGGATTTTTATACTGAAATTATAGCTGCCTGCTGATCAGCAGATACTCTTGTGGGGCAGAAAATATTGAAAGACAAATTAAGCATGTTTTTTTTTCTGACACGGACATACTCGTATACGATTGAGGCTATTCAATGAGTTCTACACAATTTCCCCCCCCCTAATATAAGCTTAACGTTGAATCTTGATATATTCGGAAGAAACGAGTTCATGTTATAGTAGCAAAAGGCATGTTCAAACAAGTTTTGATTCATATTCAATTTCGATACCATATCCTAAACAGCCTTTTTTCCCTATAAATGTATAATTTTATTTATCCATAAACTAGAAATCTGCTACAATAAGTGCAAGATCAAAATTTACAAAGAAAGAAAATCTCATATGCAAGATTTCATTCTATACAAAGATTACTATTTACTGCATTGATCCTATTTATAGGTTTCTCTTGTAATCTAAATCTTATTATCTCCTTAATATTTTGAATCAAATATTATTCATGTGTATAGATATGAATTCCATGTAATTTTAAGAATGATACTTGGCAAGAATTTTCCTATTAGACTCCTTAAAGCCCAAACGAGCTCCAAATTATAGTCCATGATCCCTCCCTGCAATTACAAACACTTATCCATACATTCTTTGAAAAAGCACTGTCAAAGAATAGATGGCCCCTTGTTTCTTGCTCCATGCCACAAAAAACAGCAAATTTCCACTTTGAGACCATAAGAAATCGGCTTGTCCTTCATTGGTAGTCTGTTTAAAATTGACATCCAAAATATTATTGAGTGTTTGAAAATATGAAAAAAATGACAAACAGAACTGTGCCACAAAGTCTTCCCTTTCCTTTGTCTGATAGCTTCTTAGATTTTAGCAACAGTAAGGTCTGTAAGAGTAAAATCAACAGATATAGCAGCAGTAGCTCTCAATTTAATAATTTTATCCATATCTCATTTCCCTCATATTTCTCAGTTGCTTGTCAAAAAATTGACCCACTTCTTATTTTAGCATTACTATCGACGACGAATCTAAAAATATTTTTCAAGATAGATACACATAGGTTAATGATATAAAAATTTCTAAATAGATACACAAGTAAAATTTTAGGGTATACATCATCAATAAAATGAATAACTAATTAAAAAAAATTAAATTTTAGAGTAGATAATATCCACACTCGAGAAACTATAGCCACCACTAGCTTTAATAAGTTGAAGTAAACATGCCTTGATTCATGTCTCTATGTCTTTAAGGCTCAACCCCCTGAGACTTGGGTAACAAATGACTTTCCAACTAACTCTTTCTCCTTCATTGTTGCATTATTACTCGTTCAAAAAAAAAATATCACAAACAATTGGTTAATTCTTTACAAAAACAACTTGGTACAACATCGTGAAATGAGCTTTTTTTCCCAGTAAAATTTGATTTTTATTGAAAAAAATACTTATAATGTATCATCATATGTCTCATTAAGAAATCCCTCCTATTAAAAGAGAAAAAACAAATACAATACGGTGATCAAGGTTACATAAAAACACCTACAAAAACCTTTCTCACAACAACATGCAAAAGTGATAACCCATTACAAAGCTTCTTAAAATCCTAAAAAGCAATTAGTCTTATAAATTAACAAAAACCAAAACACATTATGCAATTAGCAAATTCCTTTCTATAATCATACCTCCAATTAAACAGACTCATCAATCATTGAATTGGACACTTACCTCATTTCGTTTAGCTGAATTCTTGAAATTTCACCTTTACTATTACTAAACTTTAAAAGCGAGGGTTTTTCTAATTTTAGGGTTCGGTGCACTCCTCATCAAGTCTGTTTACATCTTGACTTTATTTTTTCTTTGAACAATTTAATTAAAGGAGAGAAAGAAAGAAATTTTACTTTTGAGGAGTATTAAATCTGTAATGAAAGAAAAAGAGAGTATCTCAATTGAGAGTTTTTAATCATATATTCTAAAAATTATTGACTACCATTTCGACCTTCTTATTTTTATTAAGATGATAAAACATTTAAGTGATTGTGTTTAAATCTGCCTTCTATTATAGGTTTTTAACTACTACAATTTGGAAATCCTAATCTTGCAACCATCATTGTGTGAGTAACGTAAATGGTGGAGCTATTTTTGGAGAATAGGTTACCCGGTTAGAGTGTATAATTATCGTTTTATAATTTTATCCATCTATTAAAAGGGATTATTTTTCTCTGATTCAATTCTTTGATTCTCGAAAGAATTTTTTTAACAAAAAGAGTAATATATATATTGGTTCCATTCTGTGTTTTCGAGTGTAAAAGTTTGAAACATTATATTAATCACTTAATCTTAAGAATGGCATTCACTTTTGAAATTATATCAATCCGGATAAAATTAATTCTAAATCAGTAACTAATACTACCATACAATAAATTATTCTATTCGTTTTACTATTTTAGTTATACGTACTAGTTAATACTAACAGTATTGTTTTACAGGCTACAGCATGATTATTTTTACTAACAGATTGTACGTGTGGAAGTTGTCTATGCTTCCCAAACAAAGCACATTGCACTAGCTCACCTTTCACTCGCTCTATGATTTCTAGCAGCTGGGAATTACTCGAGAATCGAAAACATAATTTTATTGCTTAATTACTTGTTACTTAGTACAGATAGAAAGACGAAACATGCATACCATGAACGAAACAACCTGAAATGGCGATAGAGTTCCGATTCGCAGAAGCGAATGAGAGCTCCTTCGTAACGGGCTAACACACTTACATGGCACTAACACCGATGGTTGATGGCTGATTAATCCAAACAAGATTACCTTGAGAAAATACATGGCAAACAGCATCTCCTCGCTTAACACGGAGCATGCGGAAAGCATCATGGTCAGAGCTCCAACCTGAAGTGTCCATATGGCAAACAACAACAGCCTCAACTTCATCTCCAGTAATCTCACCAGCTAGTTTCAGTTTGAAAACTCTGGTCTCAGTGGCATCAAAGTGGCAGAAATAAACTGCATAAAGATACGGCATCGGATGACATGCCACTTTATTTGGAGACTCAATCTCTCGAGGAGATTCCAAAACTGTGTAATTCTGGAAGATTGGGGTTGTCATTGTGGGGTGCCTTGTGCTTATGAACATGAAATCAACCTTGGGTCCAAACGCATTGCTTAGAAAACCATGTAAAGATTCTAAAGAGGTGGCACATATTTTGGTCTCTCCTTGAGCTGCTTCGAGTCCGCATTTTTGGAGTGTATCTTGAACGGCTTTGCCTTTTGGGGAGTCTGGAGGAACTGAGAAGAATTGCAGAATGTCGGAAACTTGTGAAGATGAAAAAGGGATGGTTTCAACTAGTGATTTAGGTAAGAAAGGAGGGTAAAGGGAGTGGTTTTTGATGGGAAAAAAGATGGGTAATTTTTTGCCTACAGTGAAGGCACGTAATTCATCGAGGGTGAACAAGCCAATCTCAGCACTTTGATCATGGCCATGGTACTGATGTTCCAAGTTGTGATCATTCACCATTTTGGAAGATTTGTGAAAATAAGCAGTTGCGTATTTTTGTGTCAAACTCTTCACTTGGTCATTGTTTTCATGGTGTTTTGAAGCAGAGGTTTTGTGAAAGTAAGCCGCAGCATACTTATTATTAAAACGCTTCACTACCCCGTCTCTGTCAAGGTTTTCAGAATTAGAGGTTTTGTGGAAGTAAGCTGCAGCATACTTGTTTTCCAAACTCTTCATCATCTTGTCATCCCTGTCAAGGTTTTTAGCAGCAGAGTTTTTGTGGAAGTAAGCAGTAGCATACTTGTCTTCCAAACTCTTCACCTTCTCCTCTTTGCCATGGTTTTTAGCAGCAGAGCTTTTGTGGAAGTAAGCAGTAGCATACTTGTCTTCCAAACTCATCATCTCCTCCTCGTCTCTTCAATGGTTTTCAGAATTAGAGGTTTTGTGAAAGTAAGCAGTAGCGAAATTTTCTTCCAAATCCCTTGCTGCATTGCTTCCAACACACTACATTAAAAAAAGGCAATTGAGTTAATTAAACAAATAAGTAACAACTCAAGGAATTCAATTGTAAAAGAGATGTTATTCTCAGGTTTTGAGTTTGAAAAAGTATTATCTCCAGAATATATTCCTTGTCAAGTTATTAATAGTTTTAAACAATTATTATTTTATACTCACTCTAATTTATTAAGAAAAAAAGTTAAAAAGAAGAAGAAAAACAGTTCTACATCGACTGCAATATGTCACATAATTTTAGAAACTAACAATTACCGATAAAATCAGAAGACATAATAGAAGAAGTGGAAAGCGGTATCGAATAACCATTTCCTTTGATTTGAGAAGTTTTGGGTGAAGAGTTTTGAAGGTTAGAAAGCCATTTTATAGGCAGCTGAAAGTCCTTTTTATGGCAATTTTCTGGGTCCTTTATTTTTTATTATTTAATGGCTTAATATAAAAATAACTATATAAATTATGTTTGAAATTCTTTTCTTTTAGTGCTTTAAGAATTTTTTGTTAAAAATATATGTTTAATGTTTTTTCGTTACATTTTTAGGTGATTATCAGTAAAAAAAATTGTTAAGTGACACGTGTCACTTTAATATTAATTTTTTAAATAATATTTTATTTATAAAAATTCAAAAAATATAAACGTGACAAGTGTCACTTAATAAGATTTTTAACGGGAGCCACCTAATAATGAAACCGAAAAAATATTAAACACTTATTTTTAATAAAAAAAATCTTTTGACACCAAAAGTAAATTTGAATATATCTTAGACACTTATTTTTGTATTAATCATTATTTAATCCTTATTTAATTGTGGATGATTTTCTTGTTTATTTAATTTATTATTCGTTTTAAGTTATTTTTATCAAATTTGAATTACATGTCCATTTATCACTATAGAATACTTACATATAACTTCAACTTCTCTTTTAAAAATAAATTTTCTCTCTTTTTTTTAATTTAATCCCTCAACTATGCAATTTTTTAATTTGATCCTAATTGCAATTCTTTACAAATTAGTTCTTACCTTCATTTATTTGACTCCTTTATACTCCCATAAATATTGTCGTTGAAATCCCTTCTTTAAAATATAACATTATAAATATATTTTATGATTTTAGATGGTATTTGAATTATTAAATAATATTATAAATGTTACACGTGTGAAAAAAATAAAGAATATAAATATGTGTAAATCAAATCTTTTCTTCATATTTTTTCATATGTGAAAAATTTATAATGTTATTTAATAAATTAAATAACATATAAAATTATATAATATGTTTATAATATGTTTAAAAGAATAGAATTTTTCGGGATAAAGTGTTAATTGAAGTATAAAGGAGTAAAAAAAATTATGAGAATAAATAATTTGCAAATAATTACAATTACAAGATCAAAATAGAAAAATGCAATGTTGATGGACTAAATAATAGAAAAGAGAAAATATGTTGTCAAAAAAAGGAAACATAATTTTTATAGTTATTCTACAATGGTAGAGAAGCATGTGTTTTAAATTCGGTAAAAATGCCAATTAGTGTCGGTACTCGTTTGCACAAATGGTTGTGATTCAGAAATTTAAGCTTGTAAAACTAATTTCGAATTCTACTACCGTTACTCTTAGAAGACAATCTGTAAATTCTTATGTAAATTTCAATTGAATCTTATATATGCCCTGGAGTGAGAGAGGTACCATTGAACTAAATTTTTAATCACTGGTGCGTTAAGATTACTCACGAATAGGGAAGCTAATACTCTTGCTGATGCTGTAGCGCACTTGGGGAGGAATGGGCACTCTGGCCTTGCTTTTCTTCAACAGACCCTATTAGAAATTAATGGAATCCTTAATGCTGATAAAGCTAGTTTAATCTGTAGCTCATCATGTAAAGTTGAAGAGCAAAATTGAAAAAATATTTGTTGTCAAAAAGAGAAATTCAAGCTACATACATATTTTGTAGTGGTTGAGAAACATATAGTTCAAATTTAATTAAAAATAAACTTAAAACAAAAGATAAATCGAAAAACAAGAAAATCATGAACCATTCGTAAAAATAATAAAATATTTTAATTATAGACTAAAATCATCTTTTTAATTTTTTGATTATTCAAAATGTGTAAATTCAAAATCAACTAGAACTCAAGATCTAAACAAAAAAAATTTAAATTGACTCAAATAACCTAAATAACTTTAAATAAAATATTTTTAATCAAAATAAATTTTAGACAATAATGTATAATTTTTTATACATTATATTGAAATAATCTAGTTATTAATTAAATTTATTAATATAATTAACTTGATGAATAAAATTTAAAATGATTCAATATCTTGATCATATCAAATAGTATCAATAGTGGATATCATAATAACTGATACGGTCTATAGAAAATTTCTAAAATAATTGTACATACAACGCAGTTTGAGTATCAAATATTTTTTTTTATAATTTATTTGATGTATAAAATTTAAAATGATTCAATATCTTGATCATATCAAATAGTATCAATAGTGGATATCATAATAACTGATACGGTCTAAGAAAATTTTCTAAAATAATTGTACTACAACGCAGTTTGAGTATCAAATATTTTTTTTTATAATTTATTTGATGTATAAAATTTAAAATGATTCAATATCTTGATCATATCAAATAGTATCAATAGTCGATATCGTAATAATTGATACGGTCTAAAAGATAACATGGAAAATTTCTAAAATAATTGTACTTACTACGCAGTTTGAGTAATGATGACTATGACAACTTGTACCTACTTGGCAGAGATGACAAAATGGTGAAACCTTGCTTGTTTGTTTGTTTTTATTAGGAAAAAAATTATATGTTCTTATTCCAATAAAACGACAGATAGGAAAACAACAAAAACATCATGGATGAAGTAAGGCTTCAACTCTTTCTTGCTTGTACTTTTTCATTTCATCAAGTAACGTTTTCTTACTTTTAGAAATATTTTTTTTTCAATGAAAGGAAATAACACAAGCTATAAACTGTTCATCTGTTCTAACTTTAACTATCACATGCATGATTAATTCCAAATATGTATGGTTGATGCATAATTTGGATGATTCAAATATGCTCTCGTTTGTATCAAATGTTTCCCTTGTCAAGGAGCAATCAATGCCTCCTTACAAGTCCTTCAAATGCTATTTCTCTGTAAGGAAAAATTAACAACGAAATGAGCTTAAATAAGCTCAATGAATGTCTACAGCTACTAAAAATAATTAGAAAACAAAGGCAGCATCTCAAATGAAATCATACACGTAGTTTTTCCTTCTACGTATTACATACTCATAATGATATAATACCAATGGATGTTCACTTGCCGGAAACATAAGAATGAATTAAAATGCACACTCTTATAACATGCTTTCCGAGTGACAAAAATGTTCATGCTTTGGTACTCAAATGATATAATTCATTTATGATTAATCATCAACAATATATATTGACACTTTTGTTCAACTTGAAATATATCATATTCACTTACACATTGGATTAGTGGATCTCCTTATGACTTTCATTTTAGACTCCAAAGAGTCAATTTCAGTCCCCTTAATAAATAAATAGTGCACAAGCAACAACACTCATATCAAGAAGCAGTGCACAAGCAACACCGTTCTCTCCTTATTAACTCCACCAATCTCGACATCAAAATTTTAAAACACCAAATACACTGAATCTTAAGGGATGCCTTATATACCCAAAGGTCTTAAAAAGAACAATAGGCCAACAAATCCATGTTTAACTTGTGCAAGTTATTGCTATGATACACATCCATCTACTTTTCAAAACATAAGTTGAAACATACACATATAGTTGTCATGATCAACCCTTGTCACATTGGATAGTAAGTTATTTACCCATCCCATTATATTTATGGTTATCATGATCAATGATAACTCTTCAAAAGAGTTAGTATTTAAGACCTTTTTACTTAGGTTTATGTTTGCTTTTTAGCATATTAGGATCATATTTAGAGTATTTTTAGTTAATTTTACATTTCATGCATTGCTGGAAGTAGGTTGGTAATTCTTGGACTAATTATGATATTTTGCTGTGATATTGTTACTCTGATGCTGTGACGTTGTCTAATGCTTTAGTTGTTGTTGTGTGCTGATACGAGGCAAGATTGTTGGGTTATTGCTGTAGCAATCGATGCGTGGGCAGAAAGTTGTTGACAACTGGACATAATCCTAATATGGAAAGGACTGAAAAGTAGAAAAAAGCCTTAATGGAAAACTAGTCTCAATTTAATGTGAACTTAAATTCTAATTTTTTAGGGTTTTTAATTATTATATAAAGAAGGAGATTGCACATAATTAAGAGAGAGCTTTTTAGGGTTTTATTTTATTCTTTTCTTTTCCATACCGTTAGTCATGGCCTCTTAGTCAATTTTAGGGAGGAGCAGCAGCTGGACTTGAAGGCAAAAGTCACAACATTGAGAGATGGTGACTGGTGATCGGCGAGAGCATTAACGACATCAATGATAAAATAATTTCGAGAGGGAGTTTTATTTTTGTTTAGTTGAAATACTCTTTAATTTTTATGGGATTTGTCAAACCTTGGATGCTTATGATTTTAAATATATTTAATGAATTTCATGTTTAATTACTTTTGTCCATTGATTCGATTGGTGTTTGCTAAATTTTATTAAGGCTTTAATATAGAGACATACAATTGCCTAATCTATTGCATCGAGAGGTGAGTGATATTGAGTGAGTACTGCATCGAGAGGTGAGTACCATTGTTGGAACCAGTAATTGCCAGAGCAACGTAGTATAGAGAGATCTAGCTTATTGATTGTTGTAGCATACTTGGTAAATTTGTGCTAGTGGGTATAGAGATATAGCATTGCTGTGAGTTTATCGGTGGAACCATCGAGAGAGGACAACCTG